CCATTTGTGACAACATTGGTGGACCTTGAGAGTATTATGCTAAGAAAAATAAGTCAGAGGGAGAAAGTCAAATACTGTATGATCTCACTCATAAATAGAAGATAAAAACAACAACAAGCAATCACATAGAGATAGAGATTGGATTGGTGGTTACCAAAGGGGATGTGGGGAGGGAGGAGGGCGAAAGGGGTGATTAGGCACATGTGTGTGGTGATGGATTTTAATTAGTCTTTGACTGGTGAACATAATGTAGTCTACACAGAAATTGAAATACAACGATGTACTCCTGAAATTTATATAATGTTATAAACCAATGTTACCTCAATAAAAAGTAAATCTACCTCCAAAAAAAAAAATAATTAGTGTATTTAGACCATTTACACTTAATGTAACCATTGATACGTTAGGGCTTTATTGTGACATTTTATTTTTTGTTTTTAGTTTGCTCTCTGCTTTTCATTTCCCTGGGGTTTTGCCCTTTGTTTTCTTTCCTTTCTTTCTTTAAGAAAACTTACACATTTTTCTAGATTTCTATTTTGATTTATCTCTGGTCTTTTGAGTACATCTTTTTACACGTCTTTTTTAGTGGTTTAGTGGTTGCTCTGGATGTTGTTATATATATGTAATTTATGACACTCTGCCTGTGTCCTCATTTTACCAGTTTGAGTGAGGTATAGAAATTTACCTCCTTTTCCCCCTCCCTCATTTATGATACAAATGTCTTAACTATTTCCTCTGCATACATTTAGAACCACGTTGGACAGTTTTGTAATGTTTGCTTCAACCATCAAACATTGTTTAGAAAACTCAAGAGGAGAAGGAAAGCCTGTGGTGTTGACTGTATGTTTTACTTGCTGTGTTCTTTCTTCCCTCCTCATGTCCCAAGTGTCCTTCCTTTATCATATCCTTACTTTATAGAGAACTTCCTTTATCCATTATTTTAGGGTACATCTGCTGGCAGCAAATTCCCTAAGTTTTCCTTCATGTGGGAATGTCTTGATTTCCCCTTCATTCCTGAAGGATGTTTTTGCTGAGCGTAAGATTCTTGGCTAACAGTTCTTTTCTTTTAGCACGTGAGAAATATTGTGCCACTTCTTTCTGGCCTTCATGATTACTACTGTGTTGCTAATTATTTTTAACCTATAGGTAAGATTTTATTTCTCGCTCATTTCTTTCAAAATTTTTTTGTCTTTAATTTTCAGAATTATAATTATGATGTCTTTTAGCATGTAGTTCTTTGGGTTTATCTTGTTTGTGGTTTGCTCAGTGTAAGTTTGTCTCTTGCTAAATTGAGGAGGTTTTCAGCCATTATTTTTTTGCATACTTTTTCATTCCCATGCTCTTTCACCTCTCCTCCTGGGACTCTGATCAGATGAATGTTACATTTTTTGTTATGGTGTCACAGGTCCCTAACACTTTGTTTATTTTTTTTCAGTCTATTTTTTCTCTGTTGTTAAGATGGAGTAATTTTCACTGTTATATCTTCGATGTCACTGATTGTTTCCTCTGTACTTTTCATTCTGCTGTTGAGCCCACCACTGAGGTTTTATTTTGATCATTGTATTTTTTAGTTCTAAAATTTCCATTTGATTCTTGTTCATACCTTCTCTTTCTTTGCCAAGACTTTCTATTTTCTTGCTGAGGCTCTCTATTTTTTTTAATTTATTTCAAGAATTATTGTAATTGCTTGTTGAAGCATTTTTATCATGACTGTTTTAAAATCTTTGTCAGATAATTCTAAAATCTTTGTCATCTTGGTGTTGGCATTTATTTATTATCTATTTTCATTCAGTTAGAGATCTTCCTGGTTCTTGGTATAACAATTGGTTCTCTATTGAAACTGGACACTTTAGTTGTATTTAGGAAGAGGAGAAGGAGAAAGTACAACTACTCCATCTTCCCAATAGTGGAAGTCCATATCTCAACAGGTCTTTTAAAACAGATATTTTATATGTTTTTTCTCTTTTAGAAAGAAATATTCATTTTAATAAAGTTGTTTGTGAGGAATAAATATAAATATATATAACATCTTCAGATTCAAACAGACTTGTGATTTATAAATATGTATACAAATGATTTTTTAAAGTGTGTTCATTAATCCTACATGGCACTGAAAGAACTCTCCTGGGAAAAGTTATATATTTACTTCATATGTACAGAGTGTTGTTATTTTATAATTATTTCTCTATTTCATAGCTTTTTTATTTTCTGCTTTTTTTTCAATATTTGCAATAGATAGATATAGATCTATGTCTAAACATACATGTCTATGCATATATGTTTATATTATGTACATATATTTAATTTTTCCTATAACCAAATAATAATATCAATAAAATGTTATCATTTTATTCTACTCTTAATTTTACATCAATTTGCTCATTAGTAACTAAAATCTTAGGATGGTTGGGAATGTTGCTGAACAAATATTAAACTCAATTTTAATTTTTCTATTTGAACAACAATTGTATCAATCTCATTAAGTATTCTTTGGGTTGTACAATTTATTTCAAGGAGAGGAAAATTTATGACATTTTCAAATTCCAATGCCAGTGTTTAGAAAAGATGCTTGTTTGTGTCCTTGAAAGATGATTTTAAAAGAAGCATAGCTGCTCAAATCAGATTTTTCTAGTTAGGATATCTTCTGGGGAGAAATCCTTTTGGGATTATTTTTAGTAGCCATTTCTGTGATTTTTTACATCTTTGTTTTGTGTTCTATGCCATTTATTTACATTCAAGCTTAATACTAGTAATATGATTATGAAATTAAAAATAGAAGTGATTCAACTAATTATGGTAGGCTAGAATATTAAAAAGCATCTATATTCTTTCCTAATTAATTAAATCTTTGTCTACATGGTGAGGTTTTTTTCCTCCTGATTCTAAAAACACTGCTACTGTGCTTTTAAGATTCAATGATGTAAGCTGTGGCGTTCTCATGTTGAAGCGCCAGGGTGTCTCTGTCTGAGAAACAGTGCTTCTCAGATTCCTAGTGGGAACTCTTGCTCTTTTGAGTTCTTATCTACGTCTCGGAATCTCAGAGCTGGAAGGAATCCCAGAGATTATCTTATGCCTAACTTATACGTGAGCATAGAAACTCTATCACGCACCAGTCTCCACCCACTCAATCTTATATACTTTTGGAAAGAAATAGTAGATTTATCTCCTTATGTAAAAATACCAATGACTAGTAATAGCCCATGCAGAACTCTCATGGCCGTTGACACAAATTTTGAAGAAAATTTATAAACTAATGTTATGATTTTCATGTTTTCCTAATTCCTTTCATCAGCTCATATAGCTAAAACATATTCGTTTTGAGCTTTAGTATAAAGATAGTACAAATATATTGCCAATAGTGTTTTGCTCCACAACTCCTATCAAAGAATTCCTGAAAAGAGTAATTATTACTAATATAAAATTATCGCATCTTTATTTATAGAATAGGTTCCATTCAGTATCAATATTCAACCACATAAGCAATCATAATCATGCTGACACTTAAATAAACTTAATTTAATCCACACAGTAAACGTTTCCATGTTAAGCATTATAGGTCTTAAACAACTCATTGTTCCTTACAGGATGAATTAGAAACTTTTTATCAGAGATACAAGGCACTTTTTTAAGTGCCCACTTCCTTCTTTTCTCTCATGCTTCTGCGGTCTTAAGGAAATTTCTAAAGTCCTTAACCAGGCCCTGTTTTGTGATACCCCCATGACTATGTACAATTTGTTCCTTTAGTCCAGAATGCTCCTTTTATGCATGGCAATCTCAGCTTAGGTCATCTCCTCCATAAAGCCTTTCCTGAGCATTTCTTGCTCTGTGGAACCGAGCCGCCTCCCTTTCGCCCGCACTGCCCCTGTCCCGTAGAGACTTTCTGTCGCACCTAGAACTCAGTTCACTGCCTGCGGGTAATGACAGGACTGTGAATTTCTTGAAGGCAGAGCTTGTTGTCGCACCTCCCCTCCCTTTTATTATTTTTAATATTTCAGAGCTAAGAGTTTCACCTGGTCCATAGCATTAAGTAGATCAGTGTTGGGTTTTGCTCCGTACTGCATAGCTATAGGTTGAGAAAAGGACTTTCATCCCCTCTCCCCACTTCCAAGCAGAACTTCAGAAAGTCCAGAGAGGCCTGAACCACTTTTTCATTTGAGGCACCCAGATTACTGAAAAATTTAAGAAATTGCACAACAAAAATATATATAGTTTCAATCCAGGCACTTAAATTCTGTGACTATATGTTGGGAATATGTCTAATTTTATTTGGAAATCATTTCAAAAGTCTTAATTAGGACCTTCTGTTCCGCAGTTCTCTCTCCACCACATGGCTTTGTGATTGGCCTACCTCCTCAGCGACAATCGTCAAGTCAACTTAGTCCCAGCCACAGCTTCACAAAACACGGTTTTAAAAGAATGCTGGTCTTTGTAGTAGGTTATGCCACCGTAGTAGAGCACTTGGCTTCTGCATGACTCCTCCCCAAATGCTCCGATTAGTGAAGTGGGGTAGACATGGAGCTATTCTATATCTGCAGGGAAAAAATAGGCCAAGACGAATGTTCTCCCTCACTTTGACACAGAAATAAAATAATCTATTTAAGACTCTCTCATTTCTAACCCTTAAATTGAATAATCAGACTCATCATTCTATTATTTCATTTATTAAAATGTAACGTGTATTTTAACAGAATTTATTATTGAAACAAATTTCAGTCTTATCACTGACCTGCTGTGTTGCTCTTTTAAAATTAGTGGGTATTTAAGTAAAGTTACTCATCTAAGAGCAAAGACTTTTATTTCTTGTGTCTATTTTTCTATTATTTTAATAATTGGCTTTTCGACAAGCCCCTGTTTCGTATCAGTCTTTCAAAAAAGGCATCAGTATTATTAAAGATTACCCAGTATTTATTCCAGTTAATAATTTTTTATTATATCGCACTAAGATGAGTTTCTATGTAAATAATTGAACTAAGAAAAATTTTTTTTTCATTTGCAAACAGAATGACATTGGTGAACTTGATGATATTCTCACATCCATATTCAAACACGAAATACCACATTATGAGTTCCGAGCTCTCCAAACTGAAATCTACCCTCCAGAAGAATGTGAGTATTTTCCAACTGCATCAATTATTCTTTATGTCATATTTCACTGTATGTAACTAGTATTTAATAAAAATTATAGCCAAGAATATAGCTAGCTGCATTGCTGATTAAATGTTTTAGACTATTCTCATCCCCTGGTGAGAACTAGCACAAATGTCTAGAGGTCCATTCAGTATTTTTTTTAATCACAGGCCCTAAAAATGTGAATAAGTTTTGAAATCAGCAAACCTACTTCCTGATTGCTATTCTAAAGAATTGCTCGGACAAGTACATTTATGATGGATGTTGTTCATCATAGCATAATTACCAAAAGTGGAAATAATCTTCCAAATATAGGTAATTGATTAAATAAATTTTGTACATCCATTAATGCAATCTTCATAAATAAATTTTATTATAAATTGATTTGCTGGCTGGATCGATGCTTTGACATAAACTTAACTGAATAAAAGCAAGATACGCAGCAGTAGAGTGTGATCCTCTGTTTAAAAAAGTACTTATGTTTAATGGCATATATGTTTACATATGTAAATTGGTGGTTTGGACAGACATGCACCTGTTAACAGTTGTTATATTTGGGTTGTGCAATTTCAGGGATCATATTTCTTTTTCCTTTTTACTTAATCTGTGTTTTCTACAATGACTATGTATTATTTGTATCATAAAAAGAAAAATATATATAAATACCAAGAAAAGTATATGTAGAGGCTACTATAAGAAAAATCCTACTTATAAATGTTATCATGAGCTCAGTAGTGTTTTTTCAAAATTGTTTGTTCCTGCATAATTTGTTGACACACTATTTATAATTCACTTATTATGGCCAAACACAATGATAGAGATGTAATGGTGAGTAAGACAGGCACGGAGCTAAAGAATATGAGAGGTTTACTGTAGGAATACTGTAGGATAGGGAGCAGAGGCTTTTTCTGTAGTTTCTGTGTTATTTGAAGCAGTTTTATCATCAGGCTGACAGGCCTCAGGGCAGCAGTAAGAAGAGAACAGGAGTCTTAAGGCACAGCTGATTGTCACTCACCTAGATATGTGAGAACCTTTATTGTGTATGGTGAGGTTATGTTATGGGGAAAGGCCAACGATAGGCTAGTTTTGAATAAGTAATCTTGTGAGATTAGTGAAAACTTATTTTTATTTCCCGTATACGTTTTAACAATATATAATTCACTTACAAAAGTTAGACATTAGGGCCGGCCCCGTGGCTTAGTGGTTAAGTGCGTGCACTCTGCTACTGGTGGCCCGGGTTCGGATCCTGGGCGCACACCCACGCACCACTCCTCTGGCCATGCTGAGGCCGTGTCCCACATACAGCAACTAGAAGGGTGTGCAACTATGACATACAACTATCTACTGGGGTTTTGGGGGGAAAAAAGGAGGAGGATTGGAAATAGATGTTAGCTCAGGGCCCGTCTTCCTCACCAAAAAAAAAAAAAAAACCCCAAAGTTAGACATTAGATTTGGATAGAAAAGGAGAATGACATGATTCCTTATTTAGGACACTTACCCTTTAATTGGGTAAACAAGATAGTGTATATGTTATAGTGGAAACAAACGACGTGCTCCACTTGGTGGCACTGAGGATATTGACAATAGAACTTCAGAGAAAAGCTATATTGTTTTTTAGGATGTGCTTCATGAAAGAGAGAAGAGTTTACCTAGATCTTCAATGAGGTGTCCCAGTGAGAAAAGAGAAGGAAACAGATTGTAGGTGAGAGAAAGTGCGTGCAAAGGTATGAGGATGGAATGATAACAGAGTTTTCACAAATTCCCTTAGCAACATATTTGTTTAGGTGTGTGGAATGAGAATGGTGTGTTTGGAGGGGATAGAGTGGTTTTGGTCTCTCAGTTTTATAGGTAAAGAATTCTGGTTCAGTTTCAAAGTGCTTCTCAGTGTCTTGTTTAGGTTGTAGAATAAGAATTTTAGAATTGAAAAGGATGGACTAGCTTTGGCCCCTTATTTTTATAGAAAAAGAATTCTGGATGGGTTAAATCAGAGCCCCTGATAATGTGGATCTGATTCAGTAGGTCTGGGGCACAGTGAAGCTTCTGCTTGTCTAACCAGCTCCCGGGTGAAGCTGCTAGTCCCCAGACCTGTCACTGAGTATCAAGGGGTCAGAGCAGGGCTTCTCCAACTTGGTGCAGATTATCATTAGCTGCAGAGCTTTGACAACATCCCGTGCCTAAGTCATACACCCCCGATTAATGAAGATTAGTCATACACCCCGATTAATCTGGGGGTGGGTCCCAGCAATCAGTGCTTTATAGTTTCCCAGGTGATTCTGACGGCAGCCAAGTGTATCAGCCCATAATTGCTGCAATGTATTACGGACCTGCAAAATAACTCATCTTCATACTGATCTTTCACAGAGAGAAAATATTCTTCTCTAATGCAAAAAAGAAAAATCTCTTTACAAAGATTAGAAAGTTAGTAGCATATGCAAGTTTTGAACGATTACTAGAATTTAATGATGATTCTGTGTTTGAAAAAGATTTTTATAAAAACATTACATTTTAAAAAAGAAACTAAAAATGGAAAGTTCAATATAATCTAGGTAATTCATTTGGAAACCTTATTGGTAGGTGTTGCTAGATGAAGATGCTACTAAATCTACAACAGAAGCAAACAACCCTCATAACATTAGGCTCTAATTCCTAGTGGAAGTACAAAATAACACAATGGAAATTACATAATAAAAATATGCAAGATAGACATGAATATGACTGAACTCACGTTTTGCTTGCCTCCTTGACCCTATAATCTTGGATTAATGTCAGTTTCAAAATAGCTGGTCTTTAAGACTTTGCCCCTGCATTTTCATTATTTTCAAGTTGAGTTGATGATAAGGTTTGAGATGCCGTATACATAAAGTGGAATTAACTGAGGGAGAGAGTTTAGGAAAGAAATGGTAGGTTGTTGAGGAATTTCTGTGGAAACACCACTAGAAGTATTCTTCGAGGTAAGTTCAGCAGACAGTGATCAGCTGGAATTCCAGGTGTCTATCCCTGAGGACAGTTCTCCAGTTATTTGGTGAAATGTTTTATTTATTAAACATTTATTACTGATTACTCTGTATTTTAGCTGAAATAAATTGGAGGTTAGGACATTGTGAGGGGAGGTAGTCACAAGGAATTAACAAAGTGTACCTTGAGTATTGACTGCCCCAAGGATGAGCCGTAGGATCACCCACAGATACCCACAGGTCTTTAAAAGTGTGAAGCTCAATGCTGGATTAGTCAAAACTGTTTATCTTCTTAATGCCTCATCCTCTTTTTTTTTCCAAGTTGTTTTTGGTAAAGTCTGGATTTATTCCCTGTCAATTCATTTATAATAAGTAAAATGCTATTCCATGCCGTTATGTCTTGGTCATTTTCACTCCTGTCTAGCTGATGAATTTCCTCATTTTGACCTTTTTTTCCCCCTAGGCAAGCAAAGTTGCGGGTGGGGGGCAGTTTGCAAAGATAAGATAGAAAGTGTACAAGAAATCAAATGTGGTTTAAGGTTGTCTTACCTTGTAATGCTTCCTTATTGATTTAAAAATAACATTTTCCATTGATAAGAATTTTTCATAGAAAAAAATTCTCCCTGGGAGTAGAATAATAAAAGGTTTCCAAATAAACTTGATATATTAATGTAATGTAGGGCTTTTGAACACAACAGTCATAGAAATAATTCATGAACAACTTTCTAGTGTGTGAATCATCAGGGACTGTGAAATCAATATAGGGAATTTTAACAGGCAGTTTTTTACTGATATATAAGATAGTAGAATAGAAAGTATCAGAGGGGATCCCTTAAAGTCAGAGTAAGTATCATTTTGCACAACTCCCGTTTTGGTGGTAGATGTTTATAGAAACACACCTGGTCTGGGCCACCGTGAAATCAGTTTGAATGCCACTGACTTGGTGTGGTGGTGAGGCAGAACAGCACACCTGGCCAAACGCAATTGCTTGATCCCCTCTGTAGCTCTCCCCTAGTCTGAGCTTCAAGCCATCCTCTGCAGAGTCTCATGAATTTTACTACAGCAGGTCCGTGACTTTCCCTAACTTCTCTTCAGAACTCTTCCAAAGGCTGGGCATTGCACAGAATCTCCTGTCATGGATAGGAAAAAATGAATAGATTAGCTTGTGTTTAAGAGGCTGCAGTCGCTGGCTCAATCACTGTAAGTGGCAGTTAGTTTAGCACAAAGGAACCTAGGTTACTTTGGATCAGATTATTTACCTTCACGCAGAAAGGAGAACTGGCTTAGTAAAGCCCATGTCAATTTCTAGAAAAGCATGTCAAAGCATATGTCCATTTACAAGTAGCAATCTCTTCACCTGCAAGAAGATGCATATGATCACCAGTGATGTGTGAAAGCATTAATTCAGCATATTATCTCCTAATGTGTTTATGAAATGTGGAGCATGTAACTAGATATTCAGCACATATATAGTAGTCACTGTAGCTCTGAGATTTATCTTGGACTTGCCATATATTTAGGTTCACAGAAAATAGCTCATTTGCTGAGCAGGAGATAACTGTCATATTGAGTTGTCTCTTTTTATATCATCAAATAATTTAAACATGCAGAACAATATAGAGGACAACATAAGCAACACCCTCATACCCATCACTTAGCTTTGCCAAATCTTAAACTTTTGTTACATTTGCTTCAGATCTTTTATTTTTGAGAAATAAGACATTACAGATCTAAAGAGGAGAATTGGCATGGATGTTAGCTCAGGGCTGATCTTCCTCACACACACAAAAAAATCCAATTAAAAACATTACAGATCTAGTTGAATTTCTCTGTTTTCCTCTGTGATTCCACACACTTGAAAAGGAACCATACTTTAATTAAATTTCTTGATGATCATTCTTGGGCAGTTCTTCATCCTTTTACTACATACGTTTGTATCCATAATTCATGTATACTCTTTTGTAATTTTGTAAATATCACACTTTTTTCCTTCAACTTACTATTTTAGCCCACTATTAATTTTTT